TCTGCCTGCCTTCACAAAACCTTTACTTCTAGTTACGAACGCTGCTAAACCACATCACTCACCAAAGCCAAGTCTGCCTGCCTTCACAAAACCTTTACTTCTAGTTACGAACGCTGCTAAACCACATCACTCACCAAAGCCAAGTCTGCCTGCCTTCACAAAACCTTTACTTCTAGTTACGAACGCTGCTAAACCACATCACTCACCAAAGCCAAGTCTGCCTGCCTTCACAAAACCTTCACTTCTAGTTACGAACGCTGCTAAACCACATCACTCACCAAAGCCAAGTCTGCCTGCCTTCACAAAACCTTTACTTCTAAGTTCTAGTTACGAACGCTGCTAAACCACATCACTCACCAAAGCCAAGTCTGCCTGCCTTCACAAAACCTTTACTTCTAGTTATGAACGTACGCTACTAAACCATATCATCACTCACCGAAGCCATTGAAGCCTGCCTTCACAAAACCTTTACTTCTAGTTACGAACGCCGCTATGCGATCTCACTCACCGACATCAGGTCTAGGTTGTCGCGCCTCGTGGATCGCCTCGCACTCACGCGCTGCCCGGCGGCAGCAGCGGCCGCATGCTGCGCCGAGTGCCTCCTGCTGCGCGTCACAATCATCTCATCCTCGTCGCCACGACGACCGCTGCCTCCCTGCGCCGCCAGCTTGCTCGCGATCACGTCGATACGGCCCTTGCGCACGGGCGCCTGCCCGCCAGCCGACGACACCAGCCGGGGGATGTTCAGCCCCTGATTCGAGCCGTTGCTGTTCGTGTCTCCCTCCTCTTCCTCCTCGTCGTCTTCTTCTTCAAACGTCCCTCGGGAGGAGTAGTCCACGTCGTCGCCGGCTTCTGCGCTGTTCTCCACCGTCGAGTCGCTGCTCTCAGCGCCACCTACACGTGCGGTGATTTTTTAGCGGTATTTTGCGAGTTTGATAAAAAAAATCGAGTTGTGGTTGGGTGAATTTTGCGATCAGATCTAGGGATGACTTGTTCATTCCAGAATATCAAGACCGTACATCGAGCGGTTAAAATTTGTGACCAACTGTTGACGGACGCACGGACGCACGGACAATCATGCAATTCTACAAGCTGCATCTGACTTCGTCAGCTGAGCTAACAAAAATGCGGCAATAAAATTTGCACATAGCAGGGGTAGAAATTAACTTTTGAACAAGGGAGTACAATGAACTACCTGTCCTCTAAAAGAGGGAGTCCGCAGCAAAATAAGGAAGTCAGTGGTCTGAAATTCAAAATTAAAGATTTGCTGGAAAAATACTGTAATTCCGTGAGGCCGTGCTCTGGAACGAACTATAGTTAGTATAGCAGAATTTTCAGGGAGTCACACGAACTCCTGCATATGTCAAATCAGGGAGTCCGACAGTAAATCAGGGAGTCCGACAGTAAATCAGGAAGTCCGACAGTAAATCAGGGAGTCCGACAGTAAATCAGGGAGTATTTGACTCCGGACTCATGTTAATTTCGCACCCTGCATAGAAAAAGGCTCCCAGTAGCTATAGCTTTTCTTAGGCTAAAAATTATTTTGGAGGTTTATGTTTTAGTTGAAGCCCACAGACGAAGGCTGGCTCACCCCCTCCAGTGTTTAAAACATATATATGTAAAATCCTGGTAATTTTTTACAAACTATAGATAAATTCACACAAAAGCAAACCAGTAAAAGGTGAGCATAGAGTGTATACCAGGCTGAAGGCGAGATTTACCTACAAGCACCATGTTTTGGCTTACAATATGCATACAATACATGAGAAAAACTCACCTTTCCCCATATTGGTTTGCTGCTCCCCACTATGACTTCCTACATTGGCGCCCTGCTCATCTGCTGCGCCATCAAACTCCTTGCCCTCTGCCTCGTCACATTCACTGCTGTCATCAGCCACCAGCCCCGCACACGCAGACTGTAGAAGGTCGGTGGGCGGCGGCTTCTGAGACAGATTGCCATGGTGATTAAGAGGCTGCTCGCCATCTCTCTGCAGCTGCAGCCACGCGTTGACGTCGACGGAAGCCACCTCGTCCACCTGCTGGTCCATTACTGTCAACTCTCAACGACACACGCTTGATGACCTGATGACAAATGCAAGTATGTCTCGATACCATCATAGGTGTATAAAAAAAACTAATGCATACAAAACCGCAATATGAAATCAAAGTGGAAATTCTATTGGTATCTAGCTTTATGGAAATGCTCTAGACATAATCCCAGAGGTCCCAAGTTGGGAAAATCCAAGAAAGGGAGCCAGCAATCCAAGAGAGGGAGCACTTGTGATAATGGTCCATCGCCGTTTTTTTGCAGTGCGCAAAAACAGGAAAAAAGTTGTGGTGGGCTGCGATATGTGTTTGTCGCGGTGCACCACCATTTTTTATAAAGAATACATGTAAAATAAAATGCATATTCATGTTAATTTATGGGTTCACATTTATTTATTATTATACGAGTATATTACACATTGCATCACATTAATGCTTGACATTTGTGGCCTTTTATTGTTCGCTGGAATCAAAGTACATCAACAACAACGGCAAATTTAGTAATTTACTGATGTAAATTTTCATATGGCTGAAAAATGTTATGACCGGGAGCTTCTGGACTCATTCCAGGGCACCGGGAGCAGCGTGTCATACCGGGAGGATCCCGGTGAGACCGAGACACTTGGGACGTCTGTAATCCTCCTCCCTTCCCTTCCCCTCCTCCACCTCCTATGCTGTAAATATGGCCTTCCTGCTCCTCATCTGCCTTTTACTATTCTTCTCCCCCTTCCCCATATATGGTAATGCCTTAGATAATCCCAATTATCATTCTCCTCCACCCCTCCCCCCTCCTCCTGGTAGTTTGAGATATATATAGTCCTCTTTCTTCTCCGCATATACCATCCCTACGCTATTTTATGACACTGTGTAAAGCAAGAATTAACAAAACAAAAAAATTCACTTATACATATACTCTATAATTCTATGCCAAATATTAATAACATATAATAGTATATTAAATATGTGTATAAAATATCAAGAGAATATAAACCCTTTATTTATACTTTGTACATACAGGGGTAGAAATAAACTTTTGAACACGGGAGTCCAACGGAACCCCCGGAACGGTACTCTCAAAAACAGGGAGTCCGGGGCAAAATGAGGGAGTCCGCAGTCTGAGCTAGGTTCAAAATTAAAGATATTAACAATATTTAATGCATGTGCTTATTTTTAAGATTCATGCGGCTGTACGTCTGCCAAATTTTCTTTGGATATTAGGCTTAGCTGAAAAAATACTGTAATTCCACGAGGCCATGCTCTGGAACGAACTAGTTAGTATGGCAGAATTTTCAGGGAGTCACACGGACTCCTGCATATGTCAAATCAGGGAGTCCGACAGTAAATCAGGTAGTATTTGACTCCGGACTCCCGTTAATTTCGCACCCTGTTCAAATGTTCTTGATTATGTGTTTAATTGTGTTATATATATATATGTATATATGGGTGATTCTCCAACTAGGGTTAAATTGCAGTTTCCAGACACTGGGAAAAAATACTTTCCGATGTTTCATTTTACATTTTTATTATGAGACTGGATATGTGATTAGTCAAAAACCACGACGAGCAGCGCACTCACTACGATTTTTTTTTTCTAGATGCATACATGTAACACAGCCTCATCTTGTCAACTCCGTTACGACTTGTAACGAAGTTGACCGTAACGGAGTTGATGATTTTAACTTGTTTTAGCCTGTGCACCCACCAGGCTACCATGTAGAATTGAAACAATCGTGTGACTTTTAAGAGGGATTTATAATGCTTTCATTATCTCACTCATGCCAGGGGCATGTACAGGATTTGTACCAGGGGGGGGGGGTCTAACCGTAACCTAAACTTGCGAGCACGCGAAGGGGGGGTCTGGGGTTATTTGAATAATTGGTAATTTTGAAATTAGACCCCCTTATATGCGTTTTCTGCGCGAGCAGGGGGGGGAGGGGGTTCCGAACCCCCTGGACCCTCCACCCCCTGTGCACGCCCCTGCAGGTGTAACAGAGGTGATGGGGGAATAAAGCTACTAAACTTTTTTTCAACTTTTTTCCACATAAAGTTCCAAATTTCAGTTGTCCATTATTTCTCCATTTTGAAAAAAACTTATGAAACCATAGATGAAACAATAAACAACGCATCTGATTGGTGGCTTCTTTAGTTCCTGATGGCAACTGATGGCAGCATTATACAGTTGTAACGAAGTTGACGGAAATTCAGGACAAACCTATTTTGGGCCACTGAGGGAAAAGTATGGATTCCAAATACTGAAATACCTAAAACTTTTACAAAATATACTTCTAGAGACAGTGATTTTCCGTTCCAAAAATTGCCTTTTCTGTTTAGGAAAATCATGAATTCCGTTCCAAAGTAAAGAAAAAATGGAAATTCCGTTTTGCCATAGAGATTGTACACATCAAAAATGCAAAATCCGTTTACATATATTTGCATGAAAAAAAAGTATTTGGTACAACATTTGAAACCGGAACCGGCACCGAAACAGGGCTACCAAAAGTCGTAATTGTAAGTCATTTCGCTCTGAAACTTGTCTGAATGTAAACCATATCATTACCAAAGCTATTGTCGACTGTTTTTTTGTGATTTTATTGAAATTTCCATGTTGTAATATGTTCAAATTACGTTTTCCGCGTTTTTCCGTTTGAAAACATCTTTTCCGTTTCCAATGGCCGTTTCCGTGTTTTCCGTCCGTTTTCCGCGATCGCGGAAAATCACTGT